GTGGCTCACAACCACCCGTAATGAGGTCTGGTGCCCTCTTCTGGCCTGCAGACGTACATGTAGACAGAATATTGTATACATAATAAATAAATAAATAAATATTAAAAAAAAGTACATGCATCTATATGCGAGTGTGCACTCTTGCAGCTAAGCCATTTTTCTAACCCCTGGTTTTTCTTCCTCAGCACCAGGGAGGGAGACTATCTATGGTCTCTCAACTTTTCTTTTTTTGAGACATGATCTTACTGGCATTCACTATGTAGACCTGGATGATCTTGAACTCACAGACATCTGTCTGCCTACTCAGGAGTCTGTCCTGAGTGCTGGAATAAAGATATGCATCACCATAAAGAGGTGCATCACCATGTTTTGTTTTTAACAATAAATTTTTAAGAATTAGAACATATCCTTTCTCCCTTCTTTTCACCCTTCCCATGTGCCCCTCCTCTCAAATCCATGGCCTCTATTTAGTTTTTTGAGAGACATAATTCCTTTGTCAAACAGTCCTGGCTGTCCTGGAACTTACTCTGTAGACCAGACTGGCCTCGAACTCACAGAGATCCACCTGCCTCTGCCTCCAGAGTGCTGGGATTAAAGGTGCATGCCACCACCGCCCAGCAACAGCTCTCTTATATGTTCTTCATTGCAACGATTTTTCTTAACATTACAGGTGATATTGAAAAGCCACTTTTACCCCTTCTACCATAAAACCCCTAAAAACGGAAACCGTGGGCATTGACTGGCAGGGGTCAAGAAGCCGGCTGCTCACTTTGCCCACGTTGGCCCGTTCTTTAATTTCCCAGGCTCTCAAATTGCTCCCCTGTAAAATAGAAATATTAATCATGCTGAGCGCAAAATTGATGAGTGCGAAATAAGCCAAAGATGGAAATATTAGAACAATATTGTCCCATGAAAAGCCCTGAACAACAACAGAAAATTTGTAAAAAGAAAAGAAAATGCTGGACAATGGTGGCACATGCCTTTAATCCCAGAACTTGGAAAGCAGGTGGATCTCTGTGAGTTTGAGGCCAACCTGGTCTGCAAAGCCAGTTCCAGGGCAGGGTCCAAAGCTACATAGATAAACTGTTTTAAAAAAATAAAACAAAAAGAAGCCCTGAACAAAAACATTTTTTAAAAAGATTTATTTATTTATTATGTATACAACATTCCTTCCATGTCTGCCTGCATGCCAGAAGAGGGCACCAGATCTCATTATAGATGGTTGTGAGCCATCATGTGGTTGCTGGGAATTGAACTCAGGACCTCTGGAAGAGCAGTCAGTGCTCTTAACCTCTGAGCCATCTCTCCAACCCAACAGAAACATTTTTTAAAAAAACTTTACTTATTTATGTTTGTTGAGATTGGTTTTCTCTGTTATAGCTCTGGCTGTCCCAGAACTTGCTTTGTAGACCAGGATGGCCTCAAACTCAGAGATCTGCCTGCCTCTGCCCACCAAGTTCTGGGATTAAAGGTGTGCACCACCACCACCCAGCAAACATGCATTTATTTATTTATTTATTTATTACATGTAAACAATTTTATTATTTTTTAAAAAAATTTTAAATTGTTATTTAGCTATATATTCTTCTTTGCTCCCCTGCCTTCCTCTCCCCTCCCCTTCTACCCTCTCCCATGGTCCCCATGCTTCCAATTTACTCAGAAGAACTTGTCTTTTTCTACTTCCCATGTAGATTAGATCCATGTATGTCTCTCTTAGGGTCGGTCCTCTTTGTTGTCTAGGTTCTCTGGGATTGTGAATTGTAGGCTGGTTTTTCTTTGCTTTATGTCTAAAAGCCACTTATGAGTACATATATTTGTCTTTCTGGGTCTGGGTTACCTCATTCGATGTTTTCTAGCTCCATCCATTTGTCTGCAAATTTCAAGATGTCATTATTTTTTTCTGCTATGTACTACTCCATTATATAAGTGTACTACATTTTCCTTATCCATTCCTTGGTCAATGGGCATTTAGGTTGTCACAAATTTACTTTTAATTACATTTATTTATTTGGTTGCTTATGGGTGCTCATTCAACAGCAGCTATGTGCAGTTCAGGCAGCTAATTACAGTCAGTTCTCCTCTTCCACCATGTGCGTTCCAGAGATCAGCTCAGGCTGCCAGGCTTGGGCCAAGTGCCTTTACCCCTGTAACATCACACAGGCCTGAATGAATGGCGTCTTCAGCCTGCTCTCTCTTCCTTTCCCCTCCATCCAGGTTCTCTTTCCGGTCAGGGAAGCATACCTAGACTGAAGGCCATGGCCACGGTGGTGACCCTCTGACTGGAGAAGACAACTGCCAAGATGTCTTCTGGAATCATCTCTCTGTGCCATGTTTATGCTCCAGACTTGCACACTCGTTTCCCCTCAGAGCAGTCAAAGGAAGATGTTCTCATGCTCCCAGGGACAGAGCTGGACAGTCACCAAGCTTTGGCCAGGACAGGTGAGGGAACACAGCATGGCCACATCCTGCCTCCATACATGGAGAGGCCTCTGGCCTACAGCCTGTTCCAGCGTCAGCGAGAATCTGGTCATTAACATGTGGCAGGGAGAGACGAAAATGTGGGAAAATATGGAACTGACTTCACTGATATTTGGTGAATACTTTTTTTCTCATGCAACTTTATATGACTTTTGTATTAAAAGTAAAATGGCCTTTATACTTTCTATTGCTGTTTCAGAGTGATCTCTTAAGAGCTAAGATGGTGCATAGGCCTGTGGGCACACAGCTCCGTATGGAACCCGGTGATGTGCCAGCCAGGGAGACTGTCTCTGCAGCCTGGAGGAAATGCCAGAGTTCTGACTCAGAGGGACTCAAGGCTTCTGATCTCTTCTGGGTAGTGCAAAGTGCTTCTCATTTTATTACTAAAGTAAAACATTAGGTGTCAGATCCCCTGGAACTGGAGGTACAGACAGTTGTGAGCTACCATGTGGGTGCTGGGAATGAACCTGGATCCTCGGGAAGAGCAGCAGTCAGTGCTCTCAAGGACAGAGCCACCTTTCCAGTCGCTAGAGGGTAACTTTATTTTTATTTTTTTTTAAATATTTATTATGTATACAACATTCTGCCTCCTTGTATGCCCGCACTCCAGAAGAGGGCGCCAGATCTCATTACAGATGGTTGTGAGCCACCATGTGGTTGCTGGGAATTGAACTCAGGACCTCTGGAAAAGCAGGCAGTGCTTTTAACCACTGAGCCATCTCTCCAGCCCCTAGAGGGTAACATTAGAGAGTAGGTTCTGGACTTCCACCTTGTTGAGGTGGGGGTCTCCCTTTTTTCTAATTTTCCACGTATTCCAGCATTGCTGGCTCTGGAGCTTCTGGGGAATTCTTCAGTCTCTGCTTCCATCCCCCTGTCAGAACGCTGCCTTACATAGTCGTAGCTGGCATGGAATTCACAAGAGATCCATCTGCCTCTGCCTCCTGAGTGCTCTGTAGGTGGGTTTCACAGACTGAATTGACTCACTGGGCTTGCTGCAGCTAGTGCTGAATAGCCCTGGTTCTCCTGGAACCATCTATGTAAGAGCAGGCTGGACTTGAACTCAGAGAAATCTCCCCGAGTTCTGGGATTATGGGTGGTAGCTAATGCTTTTACAGAATCACATCCAGCTTAAAATACAAGAACTGGGAAGCCTACACTAGGTATCAGCCTCAAGCACTTGGAAACGTTTGAAATTATTTTTCTTTTTAAAATATTTATTATATATAGCATTCTGCCTGGACAGAAGAGGCACCAGATTTCATTACAGATGGCTGAGCCACCATGTGGTTGCTGGGAATTGAACTCGGGACCTTTGAAAGAGCAGCCAGTGCTCTTAACCGCTGAGGCATCTCTCCAGGCCCACTGTTTTTACTCTTAAGGATATCTGCATTGATTACCGTATGCAAAGCGCTAGTCCAAGGGTCGTTTCAGTGTAAACACATCACAGCAGCCCATCAGTGCTGGGCAGGAAGCAGCTCACATTTGACCACTAGGGCACAGACGCCTCTACAAGGGAAGATGCGACTTCGGAAATACCCTGAGGGCAATGCGCAGGCTGTTCCATTTGACAGACAGGATCTCTAAACCATCTAGCCCCAACAGGTGGCAAAGACTGCAGTACCAAAGCCAGTCAACATGACATGACTGGGGCAGATGCAGCTCTAGGAGGTACCAGGTGATGCTTATGAAATCTATTTTATTTTAAGAGTCAAACCTACAGCCAGGAATGGTGGTGTATGCCTTTAATCCTAGTATCCTCAGAGGTAGAGGCGGGCGAATGTTGAGTTGCAGATGTATGTCCAGGGATATCACACAGTGGAACTGTGTCTTGGGGAACAGTCAAATGTACTGAATTTGAAATGACAACGGAGCCTGTATGGGGATGCACACCTGTGACCAGCACTAGGGAGATAAGAGGATTAAGTATCAGTTCACGGGCAGCTTGGACATGTCTCAAAACAAGGCAGTCCTACTAGCTACCATTTAGGGCATTTGCCACATGCTAGTCATTACCCAGAGCTACCATATATATCACCAAACTCCCAGGAACCATTTTAGAAAGGTGACTCAGGAACCCAATTCTAAAAAACATACTTGAATTCTGACTACCCAGGACAAACCCCAATTTGTGTCTCAGCATCAAGTTAGATCCCTTTTTTATTTTTTGGTTTTTTGAGACGGGGTTTCTTTGGAGCCTGTCCTGGAACTAGCTCTTGTAGACCAGGCTGGCCTCGAACTCACAGAGATCCACCCGCCTCTGCCTCCTGAGTGCTAGGATTAAAGGCATATGCCACCACCGCCCGGCTCCCACCATCTTTTCTAAATTTATTTATATGCCACAGTAGGTGTAAAGTTCAGAATAGTACTTATGGGGATTGGTTCTCTTCTTCCATGTGTATGGGTCCCAGAGACCAAACTCAAGCAATCAGGCTTTGGTGGCACAAACCTTTACAGGCTGAGCCACCTGCATCCCACCCATTTTAGTCCATCTTACCCTCATAAAACAGAACACATAGATGGCGTTGCCTGGCAATAAATATTTTAATTCTTTTTGCTTTATTTTTATGATGACAAATAATTTTCAAGTTTATTTCCTTTTTTCGTTTGCTATTTAAATACAAAGCTAAGCCACAAACAGGTACAACCAAGACATTTTATCTCACAGTTACACCCTCCTGTCGGATCCTCCTCCAAGTCTGACCACTGACCGGACTAGCAAGGGGTGTGGGGAAGACTTTCTTAGGTAGCACCATCAAGAGGCTGGGGGATAATGAGAGGTGTTGGGGACAAGGGTAAGTTCTCATACCTAGCTCCAGAGCCCCAGCCCCAAGATGGAAGGAAACCACCTACTTCTGCTATCACAGGTTAAGAACGATCATAATGATTCTCTGGCTGCCAGGCACCCTAGTGCCACACATATCTGATGCTTCCAGGGGTCCTGGGCTGCAGCATCTTCACAGGATACCAGGGGTTCTGCCTTGGCAGCAGGTAGAGAACTTTCCATGCAGCAGAATCAGGGTTGCAGGTGGAGGGGTGGGTAGGTGTATATGGACTTAGTAATTTCTGGTCCCACTACAAAAATCTTACTTTTGATTAGAAGAGTACCATCTTAAATCTTCTCTACACAAACCATCCAGCCAAGCCAAAAAGCTTAAAAAAAAAAAAAAACAGACCCAGAAGAAAACAGTCATTTCACTCCTTTCAAAACCTATATACATATAAGTTGTTTTCTGTGGTTTTTTTTCCATTTTTTAAATTTTTTTAAAACGTTTTGTTGTTTTATTATTTTTTTTAAAATAAATTCAGTGTTCACATTTCTATAAAGAATTAATGCAGTTTCAGGAGACCTGCCCCGCTGGGGCAGGAGAACAGTGCTTTTTCCGGCCTGCCTCTAGTCTGACTGCCCACCCTGATGCTTCGAGGTGCCTGGAAAAGCCAAAAGCCTGTGGAAGAGGTCTGTTCCCGGCCGGGCTTCCGAGCCCCGGGCTCAGTAAGCTTTGGAGAAAGCAGAGGGGAAGACGAGCTTACTGCAAAACTTTTGCTAAAAAATATTCACACACGTCAATGTGTACGCCTGTCAAGACGCTGAGGAGAACAAGAGCTTGGAGACATCCCGTCCAGGCTGTGCGTGGGGGGGTGGCAGCACCCTCACACCCGCCTGTCCTTGGACGTGGGGTGCGGGGGAGTCCTGGCTTTCATCTTGGGCAGAGCCCAGCTTCCTAGTTCACGTTCCACTCCATTCTCTACACCTGTGCCGGCCGAGTCCTCGACTGCGCGGGAAGCACAAACGCTCAATTGTATGCAAAAAGGTACAAAAACAACGAGAATATAAAAGTTTTGGTAATATAAGGCCATCTGTTCAAGTCCACCTTGGAAACCTGTAACAGATATTTAAATACTACATGAAAAGGCATCTTTAATAGACTTTTTAAAAACATCTGAAGTAATTAGCTAAGAGTGTGTGTAAAAAAAAAAACAAACATCATTTCCCTTTGAGGGCACTTTGTCCTTTGAAGAAGGAGGCAGGGTGGCAGGGAGGCAGGGAGGCCACATGGTTAATGCTTCAGCCAAGGATAGGCCTCAATGGAGGCCTTGCTGCGGTCACCATAGTCGTACAGGAGCTCTTCCCCAGCTGCAATGTCGCGGGAGGCGATGAGGATGAGGTGAGGCACGCCATCGATGTCATGCAGTTTGGTCTGGCAATTCCCACACTTACTATGATTGATCAGCCTTCCCAGGCGATTAGTTTCTCGAGTGGCATCCACGCTGGTGTGGTGGGAGAGCAAAGGGATTACACTGATACAGAGACCTTTAACCTGCTGGGATCTTGCCCCCTATGACTAGTGGGTGTCGACTGGCAGCTGCACTTGGGGGAAGACAGTTTAACCCCAAAGGCTACTTTGGAGAGCTTGGAGACAGACCCAAAGAACTCTCTATGGAGCTAAGTTAACTGTAGTGTTTCAAAATATATAAATGGATAAAAACCAGCTCCCCTGACCTCAGCCAGGAAGGAACAACTACCATCTTGGTGAGCTGCTGAGGCAAATGCCCAGAGGGAGAGAGGCCCTGGGAGCTGCTGAGCAGTTTTCTAGGGGATAAGTCCCCTCCTGCTTGAGGACAGCTGCAATCGAAAGCAGCTGATCTCACTGGACATGGCTCTTCAAGCTTGCAATCCTAGTGCGCAGGAAGCTACGGCAGGAGGCTGATGAGTTTGAGCCCTGATCTAATGGTAACAAGCAAGGAAACTGATGGAGACTCGGGAAGAATCCAGGGCACCCAGCTCTCTGCCTGTCCACACTGCTCACTCACAGGGTACTCACCAGTAGGTTTTGCTCAGATATTGAAAATAGTACATGTAGCAGCCTGTGGAGGGGTCTTGTGCATACAGAGCCTCCCGCTTCTTGGCATCGGTGATCTCAATGAGGTCCCCATGGTATTCTACCACAAAGTCTCCCCGGGAGAACTGCTTGGTGGCAATTACACCCCGGCCTTTTCCATCAATGAGATCAATCTGTCAGAAGGTGACAAGACATCATGAGTTCATAAATGTGAGAGATGTCACCAAGCATGGTGTCTTCCAGGGGGATTAGACTACATTAAAAAAAAAAAAAAACTTTATCGGAAGGGACTCAATAAAAATAAAACCCACACCGGACAGTGGTGACGCACGCCTTTAATCCCAGCACTTGGGAGGCAGAGGCAGACAGATCTGAGTTCAAGGCCAGCTTAGTCCACAGAGCGAGTTCCAGGACAGCCAGGCCTCTCTTGTCTTGTCTTGAAAAAACAAAAATAAAATAAATAAAATAAAAAAATAAAACCTACTCACTAGCCAGGTGGTTATACACAACACCTTTAATCCCAGAACTCAGGGGGCAGAAGCAGGTAGATGGATTTCTGTGAGTTTGAGGACCAAGGCTCCAAAGCTGCACAGAGAAACTCTGTCTGATAAAATCAACCAATCAATCAAAAAAACCGATTCACCGTGCAATAGCTTAATGGCTTTTTTTCTTAGTTTTTCGAGACAGGGTTTCTCTGTGTAGCCCTGGCTGTCCTGGAACTAGCTCCTGGGACCAGGCTGGCCCCGAACTCAGAGATCCACCTGCCTCTCCCTTCCGAGTGCTGGGATTAAAGGTGTGCACCACGGCATGGCTTTTACTAAAGTACCAGGTCTAGTTAAGGCTCTTCCCATCCCACCATGTAAACAAGACTCTACAAAGTGCAATCCATGTGCAACGTCTATGATGCCAGTGGGACTTTCGGCCCAGCGGGTACCCGGTGGGATAAGACTGTTCTAAAAGTAGTAACAGTGTTTTAAGGGCCACGTGTCTCTGGAAGATTATGAAATCCATGATGTGATGAACCTGGAGCTTTATTACCAGTAGAAGGGAATTCCTTCTCCTTGTCTACGCTGCCTTCCTCTCCTGCCCTCATTTGACACTGGTATAGGTGCCCATTTTTAACAATTCACATGAATAAAAACTTCAATGCTGAGAAAAACAAAACAAAACAAACAAACAAAAAACAAAGTACAGTCCATGTTAGGCTCCCAGATGAAATCTGCTAAGTGAGTAAACACTATTTGGCAGATGAGAAAACTGAGGCTTAGAACGGCAGTCACATGTTCAAGATCACAAAGCTAGAAAATGGTGGTGTGAGGGGTTCTAGTCCATAAGATTCTCTGCTTTTTGGGGAGGAGCAGGCTCAGCGTCCTGAGCCTCCTGCAATTCAATAACTTTGGTGTTCTTCCTCACACTTGTTCCAAATGGAAACACAGGAGGGATGGCTGTTCACGGGGCCCAGGACTAAGTCGAGAATTTTATAGGTGGCTTCTAGGCCAGACACATCTGCCTCAACACCCTGGCGTAGGTAGTCCCCTCACCCAAACCACATGTGTACAGAACATACCAAGAGTCTGTGTGTGGCTTTGATTTGGCACATGCTTAGCATGCAGAGGGCTGTGTCCAGTCCCCAGCACCAACAGAAAAAAGATCCACCAGGAGAAAAGCAAGTGCCTTTGATCTCGCCATGGGTAACAGTTTGGAATACACTTCTCTTTATCGTTTGCTTGCTGTGTTCTTTCTTTAGAGAATGAGTGCAAGGACTGAACACAGGCTCTGCCTATGCCTGACAAGCTTTCTATCACCGAGCTACATTCCAAGCCCCCTTTTTGTACTGAATGGACTCCGTGGCTTAGACAAGACTTGATCTTATGATCTTAAGACTATGCTACCTCAGTCTCCTAAAAAGCTGGGATGACAGCTTCTGCTACTACCCCACTGCATCTTTCTCACCCAGGGCCATGCATAGTGGTGCTCGCCTTTAATCCCAGAACTTTGGAGGCAGAGGCTACATAGTGAGAGAACCTGTCTAAAACACAACAAATAAACCAAAAAGTTCTTTCAAGGCCTGGAGAGATGGCTCAACACTCAAGAGCACTTGTTGTTCTCGCAGAGGATCCAGTTCAGTTGCCACCACACTGGACAACTTACACCAGCTCTAACTCCAGCTCCAAGAGATCTGATACCCTCTTCTGGCCTGTTTGCAATCCCATTCCATTTGCATAAAACAGGAAGATATACATAGGTATATATATATAAAAAAGATCCTGGGCTGGAGAGATGGGCCAGGGGTTAAGAGCACTGGCTGCTCTTCCAAAGGTCCTGAGTTCAATTACCAGCAACCACGTGGGGGCTCACAACCATCTGTAATGAGATCTGGTGCCCTCTTCTGACCTGCAGACAGAATGCTGCATACACAATAAATAAATGAATGAATGAATGAATCTATCTTAGAAAAAAAATTCTTTGTAAAGATTACATTTAGAAATGGAGCTGAGAGACAGTGAAGCAATTAAGAGCACTTATTCTTACACAGAACCTGGGTTCTCAGGACCTACATGGCAAATTACAATGACAGACCACGAAACTCCAGTTCCAAGAAATCAAATGCCTTCTTCTGACTCCCCCCCCCCCCCCACGATAGGGTTTCTCTGTAGCTTTGGAGCCCGTCCTGGAACTAGCTCTTGTAAACCAAGTTGGTCTCAAACTCACAGAGATCCGCCTGCCTCTGCCTCCCGTGCTGGGATTAAAGGTGTGAGCCACCACCACCTGGCTTTTGTGTCTATCAGGCCTGAATATGGTGCACAAACATACATACAAGCAAAAGACAAACTACACAAAATATATATATTTAAAAAACGTGGATGTTTCACCACAATCAAGTGGATGACTCCTTTGTGCACTCTTTCTGACACGTTTGCTTCACAAGAACTTTTGAGTGTGGCTCAAAGGGTTGTGGCAGCCAGGGATCATGTGTAGCCAAGGCAGCCTTCTGGCTGGTCTCAGTCATGAGCTACGTAGTAAGTCCATCACTACAGTGCAGTGATGCTGTGGCCTTACCTTCATGCCTTCTTCCTTCCCGCTCTCAATCAGTTCATCAATTTTTTTCTTTTCTTCAGACTGGGTGGAGAGGAAGCAGAAAGAGTGTTAGCACTCACTCACCATGCTACGGCCCACCTGGGAGACCAGCGCCCTGAGCACACCTCTCCTCACTCATCTGCGGTGAGAAATCCATCACCTAGTTTCTCTGGGACAGGAAGGACACAGTTCTGGATCGCTTGCTATACTTAAAGACGGTTTCTGAGACGGGTAGTCATTCTGAAAGCCCAGACTGGCCTTGAACTCATGATCTTCCTGAGTACATACTCCAGAGTATGGGAAAATAGGTAGGCATTACCATTCCCAGCTAGTTTGGATCTCAAGCATCTCCCAAAGGTTCTTGTGAGAAACCCAAGTCCTGTGGTGCCATTGGGAGGCACTGAAATCATTAAGAGGTGGAACCGAGTGTGTGTGTGTGGGGGGGGGGGGGGCCTCCACTGGGGATGTACCCTGGATAGGGTAGTGAACTCCTGCCTAGTGTCTCATTTTCAGCAATAAGGCAAGTGCCTTTGTCCTATGTGCTCTTCCATGAAATGCTGCCTACTTAACGCAACAGGGGTCAGCTCATGGGCTGTCACCTCTAAAACAGGAACAGAGAACAAACTATAACTTCAGGTTATAGACACACTGCTTGTCCTGCATAGTACTTTTTGCTGCTAATTCTGACCATCTGAATTTATCTCCAGAACCCACACAGTAAAGGGTGGAGCCAACTCCCTTAACGTTGTCTTCTCTGATTACCACACCCAAACCATGGCACACTAATGCCCCAGCTCTAAGTAAGTAAGTAAATGGAAAATCTGGATTCCAACTTCATGTGAAATCACCAACACCATGAACTGGACACAGTGGCCTACGCCCACAATCCCAGCTGCTCAGGAGGCTGAGGCAGGTCGTTCACACAATTGAGGGCAGCCTCAGTTACATAGTGAATTCTAGGCCAGCCGAGGGTAATCTGGCAAGGCACATCTTTAATCCCAGCATTCAGGAGGCAAAGGCAGGCGGATCTCTGTGAGTTTGGGACCAGCATGGACCCAACTCTATAGAGAGAGTTCCAGGACAGCTAGGGCTACACAGTGAAGCCCTGTCTTGATAAACAAACAAGAATGAACAAAGGGGGAGGGGTGCAGCACTAAGGAGATGATGCCTGCTCAACATACGGTTTAATGCCCAGCACTACCAAATACACACAGAAATGGATGAATCACAAGGAGCAGACAGAGGCTGTACTCGTTGTTGTTGTTGTTTTTTAAAGCTTTTTTGAAATATGATTTCTCTGTATAGCCCTGGCTATGCTGGAACTCACTCTACAGACCAGGTTAGCCTTGAGCTCACAAAGATTTGCCTGCCTCTGTCTCCCAAGTGCTGGGATTAAAGGCATTCACCACTACAGCTCAGCCCAAACTCCATTCTTTACCTAGTACCAGGAGTCTTTTGAGAATATAATTATTGTTGTTTTTATTTATTTATTTAGATTTTTTTCAAGACAGGTTTCTCTGTAGCTTTGGAGCCTGTCCTGGAGCTAGCTCTTGTAGACCAAGCTGGTCTGGAACTCACAGAGATCCGCCTGCCTCTGCCTCCTGAGTGCTGGGATTAAAGGCGTGCACCACCACTGCCCAGCTCTGCCTTTGTCTCTCAATTATAGACCTTGAATTCAGAGATCTGCCGGACTGCCTTCTGAGGGCTCAGATTAAAGCTTGTGTCACCACACCAGACTTTTTCTTACGGAAGCACAGAACTAGGTATCTTATGGACAAGGAATAGGCCTCACCTCCCCCCATTGCCTTATCTACACCTCCTCACCAGCTACATAGCCAGCAGCTCTTCCAGAAAGCTGGGTCTTTAGCCTCTAGGCCTCTGAGCAGCTGTGCTTCCGGCAGAGTGACCTTTTCCCTCAACCATCTGCCTATTTCCTCCTTTGTTCCAGAGTTGTCAAGACACCTTTTCAGAGAGACTGCAGACTCCTGTGGACCAAGGGGCCTTAGGCTCCACACTCTACCAAGCTACTCTACCTCACTAAGTTAATTCAAAGGTATTCAAGGTTGATTTCTGTCGTCCTGGCAGGACTGGTGACTGCACGGAGGATTTCAAGCATGGGAGACGAGGACACTTAGAGCTGCTCTTCAGCACCGGCTGCTGGCATGCTTTTTTCCTGACTGTAGGTGCTTGAGACTATTCAGCGCAGGAAACCCTAGCAGGGATAGAAGGCAAGGCGGGAGTGGATTCTGGCTGGACACACCTGTGGCAGTTAATCACTCCAGTGTGCACAGAAAGGACGATCGTTGAAGAGGTGTGGGCACCTGGGGATTTTCCTGTTGGGACTGAACATGACCGGGAGGAGCTGAGCTGAGGAGAGGTAGGCCAGGAGTTTGAGGTTTCTCAAAAGCTAGCCCCCAGTTTCTCACGGATAAGTTAGGCACAGATAAAGCAGGCCAGAATGCAGACAGAGTAGGGTTAGAACAGTCCTGAGTGAAGGTGGACAGGAAGGAAGGATGACTGCTTATGGTCCTCAGGTGGTACCAGAAACAAAATGGAACCCAGAACATTGGCAACAGTAACCATTCTTGCTATGCTGTGGTTGTCACCCACAACATAGCAGCCAGCCGGCCATAGGGCTGGGAGCATCTCTCTATGGTTTGTTCTGTGCACAAATCCTATGGCCCAAATCCCTCTCTCCTGCTCGGAATTCTGTACCTGGCTCTGCCAGGCCAGCTTGTTATTCAGCCCTATGAGGTACCCCAGAACTTGGCATTTTGATCATTTCACTCTTAGCCACTTGGTCAAGAATGGTATCTCTTGGCCCACCTAGTAACTCAGTCCCCAGTCTAGCCTAAACCCTCTGACAAACCTAGCCACTATGTCCTCCAGCTTTCTCAAGAGAACACAGACCCTGCCAACAACAGTCACAGCCACATCGTCCTGGGCAGCTGTCACTTCACTGCTACAGCCAACGGCAGGGCACGAAGCTCTTTCAGCGGTGCCAAGACAAACAGCGAGGGGCACAGTGTGGCTCTTGCTTGTACGGGTTCCTGGTCTAGCAACAGGGCACACTTTCCCTGCCTGCAGCTTATCTACTGCAGGAAGTCGGTAGCTTGTGTCACACACGTCCCTCTGCAACCTTCTGTCTCCAGGCACAAGAGCACACAGCCTCAGCTGCTCCCACCCAGCAGTCCCCAGCCCCCCGTGGGGCCGCTGTGGCTCCTGCCTGGCTGGGAGGAGCTCTGGGCTCTGTGGCCTGGCACCACCTTCGCTCTGCAGTGCTGCCTTTGAGAGTGACCTAGCACAGCCTCCCACTGCTGGCGGGCGTTAGAACAGCTCATTCTTGGCCAAAAGACACTGTCTTTGACAAGAAAAAAGCCAAACTTTTGGGGACATGGGGAGGGAGGGTGGGAGTAGCAGACCCTCCCCTCTTTTGGGTTTCTTTTTTAAATAAGGCCGCATCAATTAAAAGAAGAGAAGATGACAGAGCTCTGTGGCTCCGCCTGCGTATCTGCCATCTCAGATGTTGTGGAGACCTCTGCAGCAGATCAAATGATCAAACCGCCCAGACCAGTCCTATCTTCCCTGTGCGGAGATGACCTGGAACCTCCAAAGTCAAAAAGACCTACAGGGAAACGGGTGTGTGTGTGTGTGTGAGACCCTGAATCACTGTGTGGGAACAAGGAGGCATCTGGCCATACCCAAGGGGTTCAGAACAGAGAAACAATGACCATAGTATACTGCAGCAAATATTGACAGGCTGTCCACTGGGTACTGGACGTATGGGGCCACATGAGCTGGCTACCTTTCTGCCTACCGGCCACTTGATGTTCACCTGGGAATAGACAGATACTTAGGAAATCGATCATACTAGGAAACAAGGGTGTGTGTGTGTGTGTGTGAATTAACTGCCATTTGCACCCATTATAGTACAAAAGAGTCTTATGTAGCCCAGGCTGGCCTCAAATTCTTTAAATAACTTAGACCTGTACTTTTGTTGTTTGTTTTTTGAGATAGGGCTTCTCTATGTAGCCCTGGTTACCAGGAAGACACTACGTAGACCAGGTTGGCCACAACCTTAGAGATCCACCTATCTCTGCCTCTGGAGAGCTGGGATTACAAGCACACCACACCATTCTGTGCTTGGCCTTGAACTCTTGATGTTTTACTTCCTCAGTCCTTGGACTGGATTATAGACAAGAGCCACCAACTCCAGTTTATACAATGCTGGGGATGGAATCACGGACTTTGAGAGGCATGCTAAGCAAGGACTCCAACTGAATTACCTACCTGGCTCCAGGAAGCCATTTTACTTGTGCATTTTGCTTTAAGACAGTTTTACTATACAGCCAACGAGTTTTACTATGTAGCCTCAAACTGGATTATCTCCCACAAATCTATTTCTTTAATCTTACTAACAGCTCACTGGCAACAATCTTTTTTTTTTTTTTTTTTTTGAGGCAGTGTCTTGCTATGTAGCCCTGTCTGGCCTAGAACTTGCTGTCCAGACCAGGCCGCTCTCATCAGAACTTACATGAGTTCTCCAAACTCTGTCCTGAATACTAGGTGTGTGTCTTCATGCCTGGCCTTTACCCTTCTATTTTACAGACAGGAGAATTGGTAGCATCCTGACATCTCCTTGGCAACCAGGCACAGTTACCCCTCTGCATATGGCAAGCAGATCCTAATTTGTTCACAGGTACAAAGGTACCATTAAGAGACAATTCTACTCCCGATCTGCCCCCCATCCAGGCAAGCAGCTCTTGTCACCCCCCCCCAATAAACTCCACACTTAAACTATGTCTGCATGGCATATTCTGTCTCGAGCAGTGGTTTGGGCCACTATCAGGCACCACAAAGGTCCCTCTCCCAACATATTATAGCAAGAACGTACTACACCACGGAGTCTAAGTATTTCCAAGCCACTGTTCTTTAGAAACGTCTAGATGGCAGACAAGAGAAGCCCATGAAAGAACAGGTAACTTCCTCCATGATTCCAGGTTCTAAAAGACCTGTCAACACACCCTGGAAAAGCCAATCGATTTTCTATGTCATGAGGTACAGGTTACAAAGTTCCCTAAAGCGATCTTAAGCAAGCCTCCTGCTCCACCAGGAAGGCAGAAGGGAGTTGAGGATGATCTCTGCTAGGGGGAAGAACAAAAGACACACCCCAGGCTCCACCTAAACATATTAAGCAAAACCCATAGGCCATCATGTTCCTCCCAGCTACAGCTGAACAGACCCTACCTGTAGCTCAGCTTTGCTCTTCCTGGAGCTCCTTCGCACAGGGTAGAAATCTGTAAGCTTTCTATTCTGCTGTGTTTTCCCTTGAGACCTGGGTGAGAGGGGAAGGAGGAAAATAAACACAAGGCCCACTGCCCTGCTCATATCCAGGAGGCGATGTGTGTTTCTCAAACACCTTTGTGCACTGGGACCTAACAGCTCCTCTGCTCACCCACCTAGGTGGGACCCAGTTTCAAGGACAACTGATCACTCCCCCTCCCAGGGGAAGAGACCGGGAGGGAGGCGAGGCCTTGACCTCTGGACCCACCACAGACACACGGAAACACCAGGAAGTGTGATGACTCAGGTGAGAGGCCTAGCAGTGGACTACATAACCACAGCAGGTACCGGAGCCAGGCCACAGGAACCAATGCTCTCCAATGCTCTATGTTAGGAGAAGGCACCAGAATACTTACTTTTTCCGAGGGGCCTGCTTGCCCTTGAGGGGTTTTTTCAGGGCCTGCTTGGCAACCACTGTATTGGTAGAATCACATGACGGGGGTGGAGTTTTTGGAGGCTCTGCTGCTTCAGATTTTTGGTTTGGAAAAGGTGCCAGGGGACCTCTCCTGGCGTCTTTGATCTTCTGTTCATCGGACTTCACGGAGCTTCGGATTGTATTCCCAGCATTTCTTTTCTCTGCAGAGGGGGTGAGGTGGTGGCAGGGATTTACTCTATGCACTGGTACCACATGTGTTCTAAGACAGGCTAAGAACAGCATCATGGGAGTGTCCCGAAGTGGCTGGATCCAGTGTTCACTAACGCCAACCAGGCAGAAGCACTTGGGTCTATGTTTTGACCGAAACACTGGCAAGGGAAAGTGGTCCTCTGTATGTGGACATAGGAGATAGCCTGTGATCATGTGAAGTACTACTGTGGATGATAATGCCAGCCTGAATGTTCAGCCAGCAGCTTTCAGACACTGGACTTCAGAACCAAGGAAACAAGCACAATTCCCAAAGCAAGAGCTAGCTAGCACTAACGGGCAAAGTGACGGGACAGCGTCCAGACTCTTCCCACTCACTTCAGACAAACAAACGTTCCTTCTAAGAAGGTTGAAGCCTACTCCCAGAGGTACTCAGGAGGGTACCTGGGCAGGCTGGAATGCATCTTGCAATGAGGTGCAGAGCAAACAGACATACGGTGAACAGTGTACAAGCTCTGCGCTGGTGAACCACGCTATTTTTAAAAAAATGGATCTAATGATACCCCCCCCCCAGACAGGGTTTCTCTGTAGCTTTGGAGCCTGTCCTGGAACTCGCTCTGTAGGCTAGCTGGCCTTGAACTCACAGAGCTCCACCTACCTCTGTCTCTAGAGTGCTGGGATTAAAGGCGTGCCCCTGGCTTTAATGATTTACTTTTTAAAGTAACTAATATACTATCCATACTATCCAGAGATATGAGATGGCACAGTAATTTTGGAAAACAGTTTGGCGGTTTCCTCACAAAAATAAACATATAATTACCATAATCCCACACTCAGTCATCTACTTAAGTTTGATTAAAAACACACGTCTACACAAACATCTATACATGAAATGTGGTAGCTTATGCACACTAGCCAGGAAAGCAAATAACTCAAGTGACCATCAGCGGATGAATAGTTAAACGAAATGCCATCTGTCTACAAATGGGAAATGATTATGATTCAGCCTTAAAAATGCATGAAGCGTTGACATATAAACTACATACAACATGGACAAACTACATACAACAAACTACATACAATGAAAAACATGCTGAGTGAAAATGGCTACATATCCCATGACTTCATTTGCATGAAAAGTCAACAGGCAAGGCTGACCCCAGAAAGGAGTTCAGAGCAGCACAGAGCTGTGCGGGATGGGGCGTTCTTTGTGGAGCGATGAAAATGTTCTGAATTTAGACAGTGCTGTGTAATTCTCCGGACCCTAAAAACCACCCGACTGTACACTTCGGAGCTGGGGCATAGCTAAGAAGGTAAAAGTAAAACCCTGCATGGTGGCACACACCTGTAATCCCAGCACACTTGGGAGGTGGAAACAGAATACAATTTAAAAGCCATCCTCAGCTGCATGGGAATTTTAAGGCCAGCCTGGGTTATGGGCGGGGGGTTAGGATGTATCCTAGTGGTAGAGTGGTAGACTCTCTGGGTTCTACCCCCAGCTCTATAAAATAAGTAAATATACTTTGATGCCTGAATTATAGCTCAATAAGCAAAAGAGAAAAAAGAAACACATCACAAGCACCAGGAAGTCAGACATAGGGAGCTGGAGAGCTGGCTTAGTAAAGTGAATGCCACATCAGCACAAGGATCTGAGTTTAGATCCTCAGCACAGGCATCAAAAAAGCTGGGGATGGGGGCTTTGGGGAGGGTATGAGACAGCTTAGCAGGTTAGGGCGCTTGGTGTCTCAGGACCTTCATGGTAGGATAAAACTGATTCCCGGGAGTTTTCCTCTACATTCTCTCTCTCTCTCTCTCTCTCTCTCTCTCTCTCTCTCTCACACACACACACACACACACACACACACACACACACACACTCCGAATAAATACAATTAAAACAAAAACCCCTAAGTCTATCCAGGTCAGTCCACTCCCTTCTTGGCAGGAGGCAGGTGTAAGGTGTAACCCTGGGAGTATGCAGTGTCTGTTAACACCTGTGACACGTGCCTTGCCACAGCACAACTGGGTGAAAGTTTGACCTTCCTCAAAACCCCCCACACCCTAGTCCCCGCCACTTAGCAGCACTGGGAACCGGCACGCCAGCTGGTGAGACCCCATTACCATGAACTCTGCTCTGTTTAGGAAGCAATGCAAGGCGGCTAAGGCCTCAGACAAATTCCTTCGCCCACACCTGGGTGTCTGGTGCCCTCCTAATAGCTGCAGGCACAAGGACGTAGAAAGATGTGGTGATGGCAGAGGGGTCAAGCTGACAGCTGGACATCTAAAGCCCTTCTACACACAACCCAAGGTGTGAGACGGGAATCCTTCTCTCAACTGACAGATATGACAGTCGGGGCTCACAGAGAGCTGCAGTTTACCCAAGCCTCCTTCCTCCTTTCTAGCAGCAGTTACAGTCGGAATCTAAGCTATTTTGAGACTGACTCAGACAACATACCCTGTGCATGGGGGTGGAGAAAAAAGTTCAAGCTGAGGCCCTTCCACAGGCATAGAGCTCAAATACGGGGTCAGAGCTCGGGCTTTAGCACTTCTGACCATTTCCATTAGGGAATACACAGCTTTCTCCTATAAAGCCGACGACAGCCTGGGGGCCCTGCTGTCTGGTAAGGTTCCTCTACAAGGAGTGAGGTATGGGGGTGGACAGGAGCCCCAGACTCCCTACTAAAGGTTTGTTTTGTTTTGTCTTGTTTTCCAAAACAAGGTTTCTCTGTGTAACAGTCCTGGCTGCCTTGGAATTAGACCTTGTAGCCCAGAGTGGCCTTGAACTCACGGAGATCCACCAGCCTCTGTCTCTGCCTCTGCTGGGATTAAAGGCGCCACTGCAGCCCAGCATTGCCACTAAAGCTTTAAAAAGGACTATCTGGAAGAAAGCAAGATTCTTGGAGGGTTCGCCTTATTCATAGGTCTAAGTTGAGTATTCTTTCCTGTTAGGAGGTGAGCCGAAGGCCTCACACTTGCTCGGCAAGCATCATCCCACTGAGCTGCATCCCAACCCTATTCATTCTGGGCAGTGAGGTGGGCAAGGGCTCATCCTGTAGGCCAGGCTTTGAGACTACTGCAATCCTGATGTGGCTCCCACAGAAGTGTCGATAACCACGTGTTCTTGGTTTAGTCTTCCTTTCTTTGTTCTTTTTCTTTTTTTGTAAAGTGCGCAGGATCAACTCCAGGGTCTCACATCCTATGTAAGTGTTGTACCACTGAGCCCTGCCACCAGCCTACCCAAAATATCTAACTCCAAATCTCACACTCAGCGCATGCTGCTTTGGAAAGTAACACAGAACACCTGAACGGAAAGAAGCTGAAGAAATGGGGTCAGGGCCCGCCATACAAGGACAGTGAGCAGATTCACTGCGATCACTTCACACTGCAGCCGCCTGCGCTGCACAGCCTGGATTCACTTTTCCTGCATTCTTAACAATCAGAAGCCTCTCGAATCGCAGAGAGGCCAGGTGTGTTATTTTTGCAATGTGGCAAGACACGCCTGAAGGATATGCTAACTCTTATGAAAGTCGGAAAAACCTGTCAGACCACAGGACACACACCCTGACACATCCGGCTCTTTCCACCTGTGTTTGCTTCTCACCAGTGAGAAGGAACACAGTTAATATCTCCCTCACACCTGGCCCTGAGAAGGGGTGCAGCAGTGTGCGTGTGTGTCCCTGAGAAGGGAGGGTGTGTGTGAGTGAGAGAGAAAGGGCCATTTCAGGACTTACCTTCTCGCTTCCTGTAGATTCCAGCTAATGGCTTCCCCTGGCATTTGACCTCGTGATGTGCAACTGAGTTCTCTTCCTGAAGAGGGGAACGCATTCCAGAGCACTTGTTTGGACTCATGTAGGCATAGATCTTTGACTGCCCCACAAACACGTTCTCCTGAAAGACAAACACATACTCTGAAAGAGCTTGAAAACAGAGACAATCTCACCGCATCTGAAGGGAAGACGGGGAAATAAGAACACAGAAGACAGATGTCACCACTGCTCCCGGACAGGCCAAACCAGAGATGTCAGCCCCAGGAGAGCTCTCTCAGGAGAGCTCCGGCAGATTGTGAAGCCCCCAGTCCCAGGTTTCTGAACACATGTACTCTCTAAACCTGGTACCTAAGGAGGTCTGGCCATCAGAAGACAAGACAGTACATAAAGCTCCAGTCCGTTTAAGAAAAGAGTGAACCTACCAGCAGCAGGGAGGTCAGAATGACCCAGGGAAAACCAGACTCTGGATCTGAAGGGCTGGGCTGAGTCAGGGGTTAACTCCCCGGGCTATGGAGTCAGTCACTAGCACAGAAACAGGCCTAAGGGAACCTGATTAGCCACTTGGGGCTGAGGCCAGCTGGGAGGGCTTGTGTACTGCCTGAACCTTCTGCGGCAGGCCTGGCCCATCTCAAGTCACTGCAGCTCAGCACCTCCCAGTACTGTGGCTGAGTGATGGGGAAGGCCAATGAGAGCTCAGGCTCTGGGCCAGCGCATTTAGGGCGGTCACTCCACTGCAAACCGCACCTTGGCTGCTAACACCGGGCAGTCTCAGGGGGGGAGGGTCGGTACAGGTCACTTCTGCGTTGTTGTCTTTGGGTGTGGAGCCTCTCCTCGGAGAGACCACACAGGAGGAGGGCTCTCCCAGAAACAATGCAGGGCCTGGCTGCCTGCTAAGCCACTAAACACATCAGACACTCTGGTGACTCTTAAGGGACGCAAGCAGGTCCCCTACGCCCTTGGGAAGGCAGCCACCTCCCGGGACCCCAGGTCTCGGGAGGGACTGAATACGCCACAAGGCCACAAACTTTACGAGGTCAGCCACTTGCCAGGGCCACGGTGAAGCGGGGCGCTACTCTTGGCCAGGCAGCAGATAAGGAAGCTGCCCCACGCCGATCCCACTTTCGGGCGCCGATGGGGGGCACCCCCCGCTGCGCCCACGTGCGCGAGGCCCGGGCCCGGTTGGCGCGCTGCTCAGAGCGGGGAGGGAGCCTGCTTACCCCGTCGCTGCGGGGCCTCCCTGGGCCCCTCTGCTCCA